TTTGGAATGTCTCCAGGGATGGAAATTCCACAGCCTGTCCCAGGGTACCCTCACAGGAAAGCATTTTCTTACATTAAGGTTAAACCTCCTGTGCTCCAGTTTGTGCCCATTGCCCCTTGTCCTGTTACTGGGCACTGCTGGGAGGAGCCTGGTCCCACCCTCCTGACACCCCCTGGAGGTACTGATAAGGGTTAATGAGACCCCCACCCTCAGCCTCCTCTTCTCCAGGCTGAACAGCCCCAGCTCCCCCAGCCTTTCCTCATAGGGCAGATTTTCCAGTCCCCTCAGCACCCTCGTGTCCCTGTGCTGGACTCTCCCCAGTAGTTCCTTGTCCTTGAACTGGGGAGCCCAGAACTGGACTCAGTTCTCCAGGTGAGGCCCCCCCAGGGCAGAGCAGAGGGGGAGAAGAACCTCCCTGACCTGCTGGCCACACTCAGTGCTCCCCAAGGAGGCCATTAGCCCTCTTGGCCACCAGAGCACGTCGTTGGCCTCACCAGGGTGCCCTTCCCTGTGCCCCCCATTCCCATGGCCCCCTCCCCCCTGCAGTCAGCCACGCTCACAGCCCACGGGGAGGAGCCCACCAAGCTGCCCAGCGGCTCCGAGAGCAGCGAGGAGGAGGAGCTGGACCTCTCTTCAGCCAGGAGGCAAGGCAGTGGGGAGGGGGAACCCTGATCCAGACCCCCCCACCCCATCCCCGTGCTGGGGGTGACCCCTCCTGTGTGTGTCCCCCCAGGCTGACGGACGAGGAGCTGGTCCGGGTGTGCGGCGGCCGCACGGCGCACAAGTGAGTGCTTGGTTGGGGGGCTGATGGTTGGGCTCTCCCCATCCTGGCAGGGGGCACGTTCCCTACCAGGGAGGTGCTGGAGCCCCCCAGTACCCACAATCATTGCAGGGGTTCCCTGCACGGCCTGACCATGAGTGCCAAGTTGGCACGGCTGGAGGAGCAGGAACGAGCCTTCCTGGCCACGTACAGACACAAGGAGCAGCAGCACGAGCCCCCCGGGAGCAGCCCCCCAGCAGAGAGGCTGGAAAAGAAGAAGAAGAAGAAGAAAAGGAAACGGTCCAGAGGTGATCCTGAAGTGCTGCAGAACCAGGAGTCAAGTGGAGAAGAGGTGGGATGGGAGGAAGGGAAGGGCACGAAGAGGAAGAAGAGCTGGGAGCCAAGTGAAGAGGATGTGGCTGCAAAGGAGAATAAAAAGAACCAGGAGCAGGACAAAGAAGAGCCAGTTGGGACAGAGAAGAAGAAAAAGAAGAAGAAGAAGAAGAAGGAGAACAAAGAAGAGCTAGTTAAGACAGAGAAGAAGAAAAAGGAGGACAAAGAGCCAATTGAGACAGAGGTACCTCTAGAAGACACAGATGGGCCAGACCAGGTTGGGCACAGCCCCAGAAAAAAGAGGAAGAAGAGGAAGAGGGAACCAGAGTGAGCAAAGGACAAGGCTGCTGTGCCACAGCTGCTGGTCCCTCTGGGTGAGGGTCCCAGTCCTGCCTGCTGGCACTGGTGGGTGCCCAAGGGTGCTCTGGGCTCTTCCCCAGTGGAGCCCAGTGCTGTGGCCCAGCTGCACTGGGGATGCTGGGCTGGGACTGGTTGGTCTGGAGCTGGGTTGAGCTTTTATTTCACTCCCTGAGCCTTCCTCCCATCAGGGGTGTCTCCAATTCCCACCAGTGGGGCAGGGACCCATTTGCTGTGGGTCTGGCAGGGGGACAGGGGGGGACAGACCCCTCAGAGCACTGCAGGAGTTTTTTCAAGGGCACAAATAAATCTTTTATTGCAATGAAACAATCCTGAAGTGCAGGATATGTGGCAGATCCTGGATCACACCTACACCTAGAAGCACTCAAAAGTAGCCACCCCAAACAGAGCCCCCACCCCCAGCAGCCCCTCTGTCAGTCCCAACCTCCTGGGGGCTTCACTCTGCACTCAACTTCCATTCCACTGGGAGAACTGGGCCAGACTGGAGCCCAGTGAGGTGCTGAGCACCCTCCTAGCAGAGAGCTGTGGCTCGGGCAGGATGTCCTGCCTGGCCCAGCACCCAGCTGAGCCCCAGCCCTAGGTGAGCCGCAGGACACAGTCTGTCTCGGGGTAGGGGGGCAGGGGCAGGGTGTATTTCTCCTGCAGGGCGGGGGGCACAAACCTGCCCCCCAGGAAGTGGTAGCGGCCGGTGAAGTGCAGAGCTGCCCTCTTGGGGGCTGTCAGTGAGATCAGCATGTCAGGCTGGAGACCATCCACCTTCCCCTTCTCCACGTCCCAGCCTGCAACAAGCCCCCAGGACAGGGTTAATGAGACCCCCCCCCTCAGCCTCCTCCAGGCTGAACAGCCCCAGCTCTCCCAGCCCTTCCTCACAGGGCAGATGCTCCAGGCCCTTGATCACCCTCGTGTCCCTGTGCTGGACTCTCTCCAGTAGTTCCTTGTCCTTGATAAACTGGGGAGCCCAGAACTGGACTCAGTTCTCCAGGTGAGGCCCCCCCAGGGCAGAGCAGAGGGGGAGAAGAACCTCCATGAGCTCCAGGCCACACTCTGTGCCCCCCAAGGAGGCCATTGCTCTTGGCCACCAGAGCACGTTGTTGGCACGTTGGTGCCCTTCCCTGTGCCCCCCCCACCCCGTTCCCATGGCCCCCTCTTAATGCTGAGTCAGCAGGTGGGGGGGGAGCCCGTCCCAGGGCACCTCCCTCCGGCGGGTTCGGGCTCGTTCCTCACCCGAGGGGATGTCGATGCTGGCGATGGGCACCGTGATGTGCTGCAGGGTGCTGAGGATGCTGCCGAAGGGCTCCCTCACCGCCCCCGAGAAGCTGAA